GGTCCACTGGTGGAACCTCTTCTAACCGTAGATTTGACGAACCGGTTCTACCGAATAGGTGCGAACTGGTAGGAACCCACCTCTGATGTGTATATATTGTAGTATGTATTTCTATGGGACAAAATGGTTAGCATTTGCAGGTGATGGGGTCTTATTTTACAAGAAATCAGTTTTAATTAGCGGTTGCTACTTCAGCTAAGAAAAATCCATATTTTTGTGTTGGCCCTGCCCTCTTTTGGAATGTATATATGTACAAATATAGGTATGTTGCATGCACATATATGGAAGCCAGGAGTTGGTTAGTGATATACAAGTTGACAAAGTAGGAAAGCCAGACATAGAAATACACAGAAATGTTTATCTGTCTTGATCTTTTTTTTCCTATGAGTGTTCCCTAGCATTGATGGTAGGCAATCAAATTTAGCCTTGTCTTCCTTTTAAGTAAACATGGTAAACAGCTTTAAATGAACAGAAAAATTGCCCCAGATAACTAACATCTGTGATATTAATTTAGAACATATTAGAGGGAGGGCTAGTAAAGATGCTATCAAAATAGAATGAGACTCTAGATTAATTACTTATATTGATTTATGCTTTTTACTGTAATTAATACAATTTTAATACCTTTTAACATCTGTTTTCCATTTATTCTTGCATTTGCCCCCCCAAAAAATTAGAACTAAATGTTGACACTATATTAAAATTGTGGAATAGAGTTTTTCCTTTGTCCCGGGAAGTCTACTGTATGGAAATATTCTCTTCTCAAACTCTTCACCTTTCTGATTGGTGATCAAAATGCAGCCTGTAAGTTAATGTAGCCAGCAGATCATTAATCCAAGTTTTCTTGTTACAGCTTTCGGTTAAATCATTTCCTCTCTGCATGCGCCAGCTCCACAAAGCTCTGCGTGATAACCATCATCTCCGCCACGGAGGCCGTATGCAATATGGCTTATTTCTCAAAGGCATTGGCTTAACACTAGAGCAAGCTCTGCAGTTCTGGAAGTCTGAATTCATCAGAGGAAAAGTAGACGCAGACAAGGTAAACGGGTTGGTGAGAACAATGCTCAGTTCTTAACGGTTCTCTTCGGAACACTTCCAGAGTCCACAAGCAATGTCCGTGCACACTAAAACATCTGTTTGGTTTACATAAATACTAAAAGACAAAAGCAGAGTTGCTTTCCCATCCCCTCTGCACAGCTGGGTCTCATCAGGATTCTTTTCTCATTATAAGTTTGTATGGTTAGTTTACTTTATGCTTACGGAGATTACAAAAAAGGAAATAGGAATTATTTATCGTGTTGAAAAGCAATGATGTAGCGATGTCAATATTTATTTTATTTATTTACTAATGCTTCTCTACTGCTTGATATCCAGAGAGACTTAAGTGGCTTATAGAACAAGCAAGCATTAAAATGAAAATTTAAAAAAATATAAAACATGGACTTCCCACAAACCATAACAGGGCCATTGCAGTGTTGGACCAGATGTCCATATCCTCAAATGGCTTCTTAAGCAGCCGAGTCTTTAGAATACAGAATAACAGCGTTAGGAGGGACTTTAGTCCAACTCTATGCACAAGCAGGAGGTCCTATAGCGTTCTGGAAAATGACTATCCAATCAATCTTTTCTTTAAAATCTCCAGT